GGTGTGAGTGAGTGTGGGTGTGAGTGAGTGTGGGTGTGAGTGAGTGTTAATCTTCTTTTCATCTCCCACACCCAGCCACACGCCCATCCACACCCACATCTACACCTATCTTGATAGTCATCATCTGTATTATAATCAACTGCGATCGACTTTTTCTTTCGGTTATGACTTCGCGAATGTATAATGAAACACTATTTTCACAGAAAGGTAGAACAATAAACCCTTGACCATAGAATAATAAACCCTTTTTATGAAAAAGTAGAACAATAAATCCTTTACCGTAGAATGATAAACCCTTTTCATGAAAGGATAGAACAATTAACCCCTGTCTGTAGAATAATAGACCCTTTTCATGAAAAAGTAGAACAATAAACCCTCGACCATACAATAATAAACCCTTTTTATGAAGAGGTAGAGCAATAAACCCTTTGCCGTAGAATAATAAACCCTTTTTATGAAAAGGTAGAACAATAAATCCTTTGTCGTAGAATGATAAACGCTTTTCATGAAAGGGTAGAACAATAAACCCTTTGCCGTAGAATAAGAAACCATTTTTATGAAAAGGTAGAACAATAAACCCTTTGCCGTAGAATGCTAAACCCTTTTCTTGAAAGGGTAGAACAATAAACCCTTTTCCGTAGAATAATAAACCCTTTTCATGAAAAGGTAGAACAATAAACCCTTTTCCGTAGAATAAGAAACCCTTTTTATGAAAAGGTAGAACAATAAACCCTTTGCCGTAGAATGATAAACCCTTTTCATAAAAGAGTAGAACAATAAACCCTTATCCGTAGAATAATAAACCCTTTTCATAAAAGAGTAGAACAATAAACCCTTAGCCGTAGAATAATAAACCCTTTCCATAAAAGAGTAGAACAATATACCCTTATTCGTAGAATAATAAACCCTTTTCATAAAAGAGTAGAACAATAAACCCTTATCCGTAGAATAATAAACCCTTTCCGTGAAAGAGTAGAACAATAAACCCTTTCCATGAAAGAGTAGAACAATAAACCCTTAGCCGTAGAATAAGAAACCCTTTTCATGAAAGGGTAGAACAAAAAACCCTTTTTCCGTTGTCATAAACCCTTTTTATTTTTAAATACCCTTTTTCTCAGAAACCCTTTCGCACAAAAACCCTTTAAGGGTTTAGCACACAAGCATAAACCCTTTAAGGGTTTAGGAAGATTTTCCTTAAGTACTAGGGTTTATTATTCTACGAATTTTTTTTACAGTGTAGTCCTCTCACGATCATAAATCGAGATTGGCATTTTCTCGATAAAAAAAATAATCGAGAAATAATCTAGAAAATAAAAATAATTTGAAAGTTTTTTTCTGTGTTCAACCACGTTGTTTATATATCACCATGTGTGCATAATAAAACGGTGAACGAATAGTCAGGAGACGAACGCGACAAATTCTGATACGACACATTCTAAGCGCAACACATTTTTCTGCTAGAGTGTGCGACACAATAATTCACGACACATTTAAATTTAGTGTGTAAAGCAGTTATGTTCATTAGAGTGGCTATCAATCTATACTTCCATTCCTAATTATGGCGCGTTAATGTTTATGATTACTTTTTCTACGATTTATCTCTTGTTTTCTGAACGGAAGCTGGAAAAAAGGAAGAGATAAAACAAATATTATGCCTCAATATTTGTTGCTAGCAGAAAAATAAACTATTGCTATCAAGTTTAGTAATATTGTTTAAATAATAAACGATTTCGGTATTTTATTTCATTCAAACAACTTCGATAACGTCACTTTATCGAAGTTGTAACTTCGATGAAATAATTTATAGAAGTTATAACTTGGATGAAATATGTTTATCGAAGTTACAACTTCGATAAAATTGTTCATCGAAGTTATAACTTCGATAAACATGATAACTTCGATACGACATATGCATATATATTATTCAAATGATTCAATCGGGGTTTTCTAATAACACTCGTTTATGAAAAGATTTCAAAAAACCCTTTTTTAAAAAACATAGGGTATCATCCATAAACATGAAAAAACATCGATTGACAAATGTGTAAGTGACAATGACTAATATTTTTTTTGTTTACTTTCTCAGACAAGCATTGCTCCTGTTCTTGGTTTGGTTTTTTCCTATGCTTGTCGATTCGATGACGTCAAGGTAAAGTAATATGGCAATGAATAACACAAGGTATTGCAATAATAAAAGATCAAATTACGAATGAGTAACTAATGGTGACTAACGATGTTTTCGCTACGTTTTAAAAGGAGAAATGTCCATTTTCTATATTTTAAAAAGCGTCAGCAGTAAAAGTTGCAATTGCACCATTAGACCAATATATATATATATGCACTGACAAAACGATCATTGATCAAGCAAAATCTGCAAGCAAATACAATCGGCTTAAATAGTAAGTAGATTCTTCTACCCCTTATGTTGTTATACTATGAGAGAAAGTCTAAAAATGGAAAAACGTACTGTCTCCTATGAACGTAGTACCAAAATGAATAAATGAGCCTATCACAGATAAGTTAAACCAATCAATGAAGAATATTCATTCTAAAATGAAAAGAAATAACTTACCACAGATTAGAATTTTTTTCTTGGTATTGATTGAATTATCTGAAGGAATTTTATTCAGAACATAAATTGGTCTTTTATTGAATAGCAATTTGTTAGTTTTAATCCGTCAGAATTCATACTTCCTTACGATAACTGCTTTCATTTGATGAGTCTGACGAATATGTTTCATACCAAGTACACAGATTTTTGAATTCTCAATGATTTTTCAATATTTTGCTTCAGATCAAGTGTGAAAAGAAAATAAATGTGGAAACCTTGAATTTAAATCCGAGAGTTATGTGTACTTCAAAAAGTGAATGAGACAAATCGGTCATCCTAGAATGTGCTGATATAAAAATTAGCCTGGCAAATCCTTTCTGTAAACACTTGAATTCTATTGGCTACTGCTCAACCAAATAGGATTTCAAGGTGAATACAGCTCAGATTTGGACTCTTCGCCTTTAGTTATCCTAAAAAAGGCGTTTTTCCTATAACTTGATTTCTATTGGTCAGTGCTCAACCAATGGGGCTTCGAGTCAAGTGGATTACAGATTCGAGTTCTCCATCCTAGAAAACCTCGAAGTATTATCTCTGTGATTGGAAGATAGAGCTCGAATTGTGGATCGATTAGAGCGCAGACAAAAACAGAACCGATTTCCGTTTGTTTATCTTTGCAATAGGTGAGCTAGCCTTCTTGTTTCTTTATGTTCTATATATCATTTTGTAGCTCGTGAAATTCTCTATCGAATGGTATATAATAGTTGAGGTTTTATTTGACTATGATAGGGAAAGTGTTTTACGAAAGTGGAGATAGATCGATTTTCCTATAGGAAGTCATAGGGAAACATGAGTATTTTTGCAATAACTGAGGAATCGCTCGGTCAATCCTTCTCATCTTCTTCTCTCGACCGAGATATTGTTGAGACTAAACTGTGTAGAAAATTTCATCGTGATCGGACTCTTCTTTCAAAAGTTATCGTGTAAACGGTCGAACGGACACACTGACCGATTAAAGAGTGTACTCACTTTTTGAGTACACAAAAACCCAGTTTTGCACCGACAAAACAATCTACTCTCGTATGATATAATCAAAATATTTTAATAGTGATTCATTGTTTATCGTTCGATCTGAGTTGTTAGCTTGATGGGTAAGAATGACACAAAATCAACATTTGTCATTCCATTTCCTCGTTAAATACTATTTTTACCTTATTTCTTTTGTCATGAGTTAATTTCTTATCATGCTAATGTTGTTTGTTCCCTTCAATTGCATCGAAAAAAAAACAGTTCGGACAATAAAAGAGAAGATTCAGGAAACAGAGGAATATTAATTTCTTTTTCAGATTTTACACAAATACAAACGAGTCTAACAATAACATTTAATTGGAATTCGATAACGATGTTTCCAACACCACTAACATCACAAACAGTAAGGCAAACATAGTCTAATACTTAACGCATAACATTTCTAATAATTTTACTGATAGTGCTGAGATCTGTCGTTATTTTGAAAACATTCTTCTTTAGGATACAAACAATATCTTCTTTCATCATTCAAAAATTACACATGAAAAACGTTCCGTAAGTTTAAGCCAGCGTGGTGTCTTTCGAGGTTCGACCGTCTGGTTGACTGGTATGTGCTTACGTTTATGTCTTTGAATTTCTCACTTTTCTCTCATTATTCAGGGCTATCTGGTGCAGGAAAATCGACCATAGCGTAAGTTATACGACTAATGCTACTTGTTACCATTACCTAAATGTTGCTTCTTTATTTTAGGTTTGCCCTCGAAGAATATATAATCAATAAGGGTTTACCAGCCTATTGTCTTGATGGTGACAATATTCGATATGGCCTGAATAAAAATCTTGGCTTTTCGGATGTTGATCGTATTGAAAATATTCGTCGAATTTCTGAAGTATCTAAACTGTTTGCTGATGCTGGTGTTACGTGTATTGTGGCCTTCATTAGTCCTTTTGAAGAGGTACGTTATGAGAGTTCGCTTTTGCTTTCTCTGAGTACTCGACAAGAAAAAAACATAATAATGATTGAAGAAGTTTATCAGAACACCAGAAAACAAGACATCTCTCATACGCAAAGCTACAGAACAGGTCACGTGGAAAGGAAAGTACAAACAAATCATAAAGAAAGAGAAATAGAATAAACCAGAAGAAAACGAAAGAAAAAGTGCACAATGGCAGAGACGTCATTGTCGGAATCATGGCATTAGTATGCAATCAGTTTTATATTTCTCATAGGATCGATCTCAAGATGAGAATATCATCGTTGATTTTTCCTTTTAGGATCGAAAAAATGCTCGAGAATTGCATGAAGTAGCTGGATTACCATTCATTGAAGTATTTGTGAATACTCCAATGTCCGTGTGTGAAGCACGTGATTGCAAAGGATTGTATCGAAAAGCACGTGATGGTCTTATCAAAGGTTTGTTAGTAATGCAAGATGATAAATTGATCTTAATCGAAAGAGAATATTTGATTAGGTTTCACGGGTATCGATGCTCCATATGAAACACCAAAAAATCCCGATTTGACTATCGATACGAGTATTGTTTCAATTGACCAAGCCGTAGAAATGATTCTGAGCAAATTGGCTGAACGTGTAAGTATGTTTTCTTATTGTTCGTTCGTCATTATCATGACAATGGTCATTGTAGAATGTTTTCCCACCAACTTTAATCCAACCTGTACATGAACTCTTTATGAATGATCAAGCACGCAAAGAAGCACTGGAACAATTCTCTCAAATGGATAAACTCAATATCAGTCAGGTAATATAGAACGAAAGAAGGGAATGCAAGACTTTCTAACGATGCAACACTTTGTTTAGCTCGATCTGGAATGGGTTCAAGTTTTGAGTGAGGGATGGGCAACACCATTAGCTGGTTTCATGCGAGAAACCGAATACTTGCAATGTCTCCATTTTGGTTGTCTCATGAAAGGTAGATAGTAAAAGAAAAAAGAAAGAAATATTTCTGTTCTACGATGAACATTGTCAAACTAGGTTATATTGCAAATCATACAATTCCCATTGTTCTACCGTGTTCGACGGACGATAAGCAACGACTTCAATCAAGTTCGATGATTGCTCTATGCTACGACAGAAAACTAGTTGCCGTATTGAAAAAACCAGAATTTTACGAACATCGGAAAGAAGAACGTTGTGCACGAACGTTTGGCACAACCGATGTTAGTCATCCGTACATTAAAGTAAACGTCTAGTGAAACAATTAGTTCCATATAATTGTGATGAAATTTGCATTTTATTATCTTCTTAGATGATTATGGATAGTGGCAATTGGTTGATTGGTGGAGATTTAGAAGTTGTCGAACGTGTTTGTTGGAATGATGGACTCGATCAATTTCGTCTGACACCAAACCAATTACGGCAACGCTTTCGTGATCTTCAAGTACGAATGAAGAAAATGATTTTTCATTCTATCGATAAAGATTTCATTGTTCTACACTTTCAGGCTGATGCTGTGTTTGCTTTTCAATTAAGAAACCCTATTCACAATGGACATTCACTACTGATGCAAACAACACGCAATCTATTGATTGAGCGAGGTTTTAAAAATCCCGTTCTTCTTCTTCATCCATTGGGTATGTTTTCTTACGATGTCATTATGCCTTGCGTTGAATTCATCAGTTTCCATGTTTGTTTTTTGAATATCTAAGGTGGTTGGACAAAGGAAGATGATGTGCCATTGCATATTCGTATGGCTCAACATCAAGCTTTCCTTCGTGATGATCAAGATGATCGACTCGATCGATCTCGAACCGTTCTGGCTATTTTTCCATCGCCCATGAGCTATGCTGGACCGACTGAAGTACAATGGCATGCCAAAGCACGCATGGTAGCCGGTGTCAATTTCTACATAGTCGGTCGTGATCCAGCCGGTATGCCGCATCCATCGAATAAATCCAAAGATCTCTACGATCCAACACACGGTGCCAAAGTATTGACGATAGCGCAGGGTCTTAATGAACTTCAAATATTACCATTCAAAGTGGCTGCCTATCATCGACCATCGAAAATGATGACTTTCTACGATCCAGCCAAGCATGACGAATTTGATTTAATATCCGGTACACGAATGCGAAGTATCGCTCGTAGTGGCTTACAACCACCTGACGGATTTATGGTGCCTAGTGGATGGAATGTCTTAGCAGCTTACTATCAATCCATTGCAGCATAATTACTATCCATGACCATTCAATAATTGTTCTCATTGTATATTTTGTATTTTATTCTTCTTCTTTTATCTTTATACACAAACAAGCTCAGTTTTGTTCTTCTGATATTTTCTCAAGTAAATTCATCTAAGAAAAAAACAATAAAAAGAAACAAATTGTGCATCATTCTATCAAAGAAACTGCTCAGCAATATTCTGTCTGAGATTTTCAGAGTATAGTGATTTTTAAATCTGAGCTACCGTGGTACATTCATCACAACTGCATGATTCTTTAGATGCTTCATTTAACTGACCAAAAACTAGACATTCGATATTTGAACAGATTGTTGCCATAGAGTCAAAGTCTATCAAAACAACGTACCTTAGAAAGGCAGATGTCTTCTAATGAATCTTTTTTGTGTACTTAAAAAGTGAATACACTATAGAATTGATGAGCGTATTTGACCGGCCCGTCGGTTGTTTACACCCTAACTCTTTACAACTTCATCCGATTGTACTGAAATTTTGTATACAAATTTGTCTCATCAATATCTCGCGCGAGTTCGAAGATGAGAATGTTTCGTCACGAAATTGCTGAGTTATAGCAAATGCCATTATTTTCTACGATTTTCTATGTGAATATTGACCTATACTGGTTTCCGTAAAAAAGTATTTTCTCTCATAATCGGAAAACCCTCGATTATTATGCCGAGTGATTCAAAAGTTTTGCAACATTTCCTGTTTTACATGTATCCTATTTTAAGACAAAGCATAAAATTTTAAATTTGTTTTTGGCGGTTGTATAATTCAATTCTTTACAAACTTATATTTAGCAAAATTTAAAATAATAAAACTCAGCATTTTTGAGGAATAAATAATATGATGATGTGCATTGCATCTACAGTAGTGGTCAAAAGTACATGCCCTAGTCTGTTTTTATCAAATTCAGACATAAGATAAATATCTTTTTGTTAAATTTAAGTTCACACAGGAATCCGATCATTAACAAAATATGAAGTCTCCATCACTTTCAATAACTTCAGAAATTGGATTAATCATACTAAGTACAAGTTGAGGGGCTAAATCTGATGGTAAAGATTTCCACTCTTGCGTAATTGCCGAAACCAAAGATCGATAAGTTGTGAGATTTTTCTTTCTCAATTTCATTTTAAGAACTTGCCAAATATTCTCGATAGGCGCAACGTCAGGTGACATCGTCGGTTACTCAATAGTTTGAATTCTATGATTCATTTTCCACTTGGCAGCTAATTTCGACTTGTGTTTAGGATCGTTGTCTTCTTGTAATTTTCACGAAGTGGAATCAAGTCCACAAGGAGCGCGTCGACTCATAGAACCTCACTCAACTCAATCCTGAAAGTTTGCACAAATGGTTTAGAATATTCAGTACTGGGCTAGTGAATTATTAAATATATTTATTGTTAAAAAAGAAACTTGAATCAAGTTAAGAACTAACGATACAAGCAAACTTTCCAAATTGGTATTATGGAAATAACGTTGTTTTTGATAATATCTATTCTGTAATTCTTATCCGTGTTCAAATGTATTTATCTACTTTAGTATCGGAAACTAGCCTTGAAGACCACTTTAATTAACTTTTTACATCTTACTTTATCTGCTAAAAAAAAGCATTTCATATGTAAAATATTTAATTGATCGCTTACATGAAAACAAGTCAACAAAATTATTGAAATTTAGAATATCATCTGTTTTTCATGAAAGAGCCTAACTTACAGAATCTCAATACACATTCATATTGTGTACATATTGACATTCAAAAACTAAGTTTACATTTTTATGCTGGCCTGTGGATATAGGTATGCATGTGGATGTTAGTATTTCACGGAAGGTCCACACCCACCCACACCCACACCCACACCCTCTGTTTACGCTATTTCATACAATTTAAATCTAACGCAAGTGCTGTTTATCTCTCAAGGGTTTTGGCCAACTTGTACTTGTTCCTCAATCAATCGATTAGATTTTGCATCTAATTATGTACTCGATCGATTTTCTACTGAAACTTGATGAGTGATTTAGTTATTTTGCATTTATGATAATCATCAAAATTTTCATAATTTTTTTGCATTATGCAGAAAGAAAAATAATTGTGATTGAATACCAGTCTCTGCAGAACGAATCGTGGTTTCCACTTTCCATCGCCTAAGACGGAGGGAACTAATCTGTAGCATCTAATACAAATTTCAGCGGTAATCTTTTCAATCAAGAGACACGGTATATCTTCCATAAGATCAGATAAACTATCGCTTGTTTTATTTCGTCTATCATTGCAAATAGTATACTGTATCTTTGAATTGTTACAGTCGATTATGTGCAGCAGATTGAAGAAAAGTTAAGCTACGAAAACTTTAGAATTTTTTTCTCTTGTATCGAAATTTCGCTTTCTTCCATGTTTTGTTTTCAGCCAAGTTCTTCGTTGAAATTTTTTCTCTATTAGATGGTCGTAGAATAGATTATATAAAAGAATTATATTGTGCTTTCTGAGATGTAAATAGCTATTTTATGCAATCTGTGTTCTAGTTCAGTTCACTCCATTTTCATTTGATCCTTGTTACTCAAAAAGTTTGTTCATAATCTAACCGAAAACTACTTCTAAAGCTAAGTCTGCATACAACAATAAGGAATACCTAATCCAATCTTGCGTATTTTCATTCCGAACTCAATACATACTCCAATATTTTCGCCATGTGGCACAAAGATTAAGGACAGTAAATCATTCAAATTAAATTTTTTACATTATATGTGAGAAAAATTTTCTTTTCGTACAGCAGGAACATACCAAACTTTCTATTGTTGCTATCAGTTTGATTCAAGACATTTAAACTACAAATAGCTCTAATTAGATTTCACGGTTATTTCATTCCTTGTTGGCAGCTTATCTCAAGAGTGCACACTTTGCCTAAGAATCATCAGCAAATACAGAAGTAGGAAAAATGAATAGACTTTTTTAATCATTTTTCTTTTCCTTACTTCCAGATAAATTATCTGTTTATTCTCGGTTTTCAATTTCTCTTCCATGTACAACCTTTTCCACTAATATGTAACTGAATTGATTAGCAATTAATATATTCTTTAACAATTGATAAAACATTCGTTTCGAATAATTAATATCTTTCTTTGCTGTTAGATGTTGCAATGGATATTTGTTATCCTGGGATTTTTATCGTATCATGTGCATTATGTGTATCTATCTCCATCTAGAACATCACTTTTTAATTTCACTGAAGAAGCCCGAGCTGCGATGTGTCCATTTGTTGGTACTGAAGGAATGATGTGTTTTGATGGCAGTCCTGCTAAACGCTCTGACAGACAGTTGGATTCGGGATTTATGAAGTTGCCACGTGGTGTCGGCATGAGTGTCGATCGAAGTACTGGCCAACTTATGGCTGTAGCTGTACAATTAACATATTCACCTGAAGGTAGTCGTACATGGACTGATGGTCATAGCGGGGCAATGTTTGATATATTTAACGAGGCAGTACTCGGACCAGCTAACCAAGTGGTAATGGCTTACGATGCAGCTCGTGTTCACATTTTTCAAAATGCTTCAGAGTTAGAGGCAGCATGGCGACAAACATTTGCTGATGGCAAAGTTCGTGGTGGAGAATTAGCCCGTCCACCTAATATGCTTCAGTATTTCAATGGGTAGGTGTGTGATTCCATTGTACTTAACTCAGAATGTTCATTTAATTGAAGTACTTCTTCTCGTTTTCACTCTCTGCATATATGAATTGCGTTAACTTAATGATGATTACCCTCAAGCGCTCACTTGAAATTTATCTAGATCCTAACGAATTTCCTTATAATGTTACATGTACAAAGCGTCTGATAAAATCATGTCTCTCTATATACGTTCTAGTGCAAATTAGTATAATATGCCCTTGATCTCAACCATTCGTCATCACTAGCTGTTGATGTTTATAAATTTTCTCAAAGTACATGTCAGCATTTATTACTTGCCTCCAGTGAAATCCACTCAAATCCTATTCAAACTCTTTTGGATGCATTGTAACTGTATTCTCAGATATGAACTCATTCTTCCAGTTCTACATTATGAAAATCCGATAGGGTACGCCAGTAACGACGGTCAATCATCCCAATGCTGTACATAAAAAAGCGTCACTTCAGAAACGATGAGCTCTCAGCATGTTTTCGTTTGGCGAAATGTCAATTCTAGTGGGAAAGAAACCATGTCGACATACACAAAATGTTCTCGTAAGATTTTTTTCCTTGTCAACGCCGGATTTTCAGCAGTTTACAACGTACATAGAGACAGTGTTCTTTTCCAAAATATTGCTCTTTCAAATGACAATGATGGTCAAAAGAAAAATATTCTTAGCATATGTCTATGAACATTTCACACACAATCTCAAACATTTTAAGACTAGGGGATAAAACGAAAGGAAAAAACATTGAATAAACACGATGCAAAACAACTGCTGTTCTGTTCTTCTTAAACTTAAGTAATGAGCAGAGCCATTGTAGTCTTATTTTATCAAGGCTAATATCATTGATTCTTTTATTGTCTGACAACGGGAAATGTCTTTTATGATATCAGGTGTGACACAGAGTATACAAACCATTTTGAAATTGAACTCAGAACCACATTTTATGTTAGGATCGACTACAGCGAATAATACCCAGAGTGAATGGGTTTTCTTCTATCGTGACTTATTCGATAATAATACATTTTGATTCATGCTGCTAAACTTTCAATTAAAACCAACGTAAGATAAAATAGAGAACATCTCGCCCTTCTGAAATTGCACAAGCTCTATATAATCCTATAGTAGTAGGACATTTTAATTTTCTGTCAAGCTATTCTTGATTATGAATGTATTTATCAAGTAGACTACTATAAGATATCTTTATTTCATCATGTACGAACATGCAAGCATTTGTTCAGATGACCTATCTGTTGTAACTATTTGTAGCTTTTTTTGGTACTTGTTTCAGAAAAAATAGCCCTTAACACAATATCTAGAAGATTGACTTATCATATATATCATACAGCAATGAGTTTTTATCAAAATTTAGAGCTGAACCGTTGTTTTAATTTTTTGTCATCACGGAAAACTTGTAGAAAGATTTTTCGCTCATGTATCTGAAATAATAGACTGGCTTCTATATTTCGTCAATAAATCACCATTCTTCAGTCGATATTGCTATACAAAAGCATAATTGTATTAGATCCACTCATTTTTTTATAGAAACAATGAGAACTTTCGTTTTTTTTTATTCAAATGCGCATCGTATTTATGTTATACTTACCAGCATATATCACATACGAATGTCTATTCTCTAATTTAATTCTTTATTTGTCGATATTGTCAACAAAATCTTTGTCTTAATTAAGCCAATTAGTATCTTGCCTTCTATACAACTGACTCTTCAATCATAAGCATTTCGCACATAATTCTTTACAAGTCTTCGTCGTAAGAGTCAAGAAGCAAAGAATGACTAATATGAAGATTTAGGCTGCTAGTGGGATAATCAATGCACATGCAAATCATTTAAAACGGCAAGTTTTCGGAAATATTCGAATTCTAAAATTATTATTGAACGTTGAAGACTTGATAGCAGATACTTAAGGATTTTTCAATGCACACACGGAAGGTCTAGTTAGTGATGCAAATTGAGAATCATTTTAATGATTGTAACTACAAATGAATTAGTTGTGTGTAGATTAGCATAATTTTTTCTGATCAATTAGTGAAACAAGCTAACTTTTGGTCAAATTAATGGCGTCACAAATTCTAACTCTTCAAAAAAGGAAATCTCGATTGTTCCATTTCTGTTGAATTACGCTAACGAATCTCGATACTTTGACATGCCCTCGGTAGAAATCTAGTAGTGCAAGATAAAGTGTGATTTACTTGGAAACTCAATATGCATTTAGTCATTGAAATATTTCATTTCTATATAGTTACTTCAACAATAGCGAGGCTTTAGCACTTTCTCAACGTGTAATTGGTCTGTATACACTGACATTAAATGTCTCAACTCTGCAACTTAATTCATTCGCGCGCCATGCACTTTCTCAGTTAACAACCACGTTGGATCCAGATCTTTATGAAGATTTTCTCGATTCTTGGGGAACTCATGTCATTACTAAATCACTTGTTGGTGGTATGATCGAGGAACGAGCTAAAGTAACACGATGTTTCCGTGCCTCTAATAATGTTATGTTCGGTCGGTGCATACCATTCGCGGACCGCACTCCAAATAATTCAACTTGTGCCTTCTATGCTGCTCAAACACGCATCATTTCGAAACGTCGTCTTGGGGGCAATGTAGTGGTCGACAACGATGACGAATGGAAAAGATCGTTGGCTGTCGGACCTGCTCTCTTGCAGATTCTTGAGATGGTTCCGTGGTCTGATTTGGTCACTGACGATGCAATAAAACAAAACTTACGCACAATCATTCGATATCGACAGAGAAATGTCGATTTGGTTCAAGCAGAAGCAGCTCGTCAAGTCGATGCTCGTTTATCTCCATGCATTTCAGGTGCTAAAATTACTGTTGGTTCCTCGGATAAGTTCTTAAGCATTTCATATCCTAGTTTTAGCACATGTTGTGCTGATGCTGCAGATAGATTGATGAATTATTCATATTTCTACAAATCTCACTTTACTTGAATCACTGTAAAAACGATTAGGTATTCGATTCACATGGTATGTCCTGCTATCGCTATGAAATCAGCGTTATTTTTCAACAAAAAGGTCGAAATCAGACCTATCATGGATAAGATAGTGAGTTCTTCTTTACAGGCCTGTAATAATTTTCAAGCTTAAATTGTCTAGCAACTCTTTTTTTAATCGAATCTCTTTTCAGCACTTACTCTTCTATCTTTGATAATGAATAAGTATCTTCATAGAGATTTGCCACTATAGTACACAAATAAGGATCGGCTCGCCTATCAGGAGTAATATTGACGATCTCTCGGTTTCTTAACCAGTTACATTGAAAGCAAGCTGGAGAATATCTTGTTCTCAACATAAGTTTTAGTAAAAGCAAAGAAAAGCAAATACATACAACATTATTCTGAAGATCTGAGTTCTTGGAAGTATGAAATATAATAGAATCATCTTTTGTGTTTATTTATGCAAAATAGCGCCAGGACAAAAGAGATTTAACATTCAACGCTCGCTTACATTCGCAAACTAAATGTTCGACTGAAGAAAAGCTTATTCACTAACAAAGTACTATATCTATTTATTTTTTTTGGACCGAAGCTACGTGTAACAGCAGAAAACAATTAGACTGCTCTAAAGAGATTTAACTGTTGTATCTTTATCCTTGAAATAATTTCTTAACGATTCAAACCTAAGAATTAAGCACTTGGATGATCTGAAAAACTCTTCATTGGAAGAAATCAAAGTCAATATTTTTGACTGAAATAAATGTCCAGCAGCTTTATATTGTTGATCGTTAGACACAATTTTCAATTCTCAGTAGTTGTTTCTCAAAAAGTTTAAAGAAGAAATTTCAGCAAGAACAAATTACAAAGATCGTTTTTGGATTCTCTTTGAGCTAATATAGGTTTTCAATGATCTTTAATATGGACCATTGGGAAAAGCTTTGTTTTGAATTTCTGCGATCGAAAAATTATCCATGTGGAATAAAAATAGTTTGTAATAGTTAAAAACAAAATTACTGATTACCAAAAATGTCATTTTCCACTCCTTTCTATTTTCGATAGAACATGAATTTAGTTTTGGAAGACAATCTATTTTTCATGTCTTTATATTTCACATGATGCCTTAAGTCGATTGAAATGCAAATGTTCAGAAGAAGTTTATTTTATGATGACTTTTGTTCATCCCTTTCTTTAAGTACACTTTCGTAAATGTATAGTGTTAAGGAATTTGTTTGACTTCTTCTCTCATCACATTTTCTATTTGCCTTTGAGTGTTAAAAGTTTTTGCATTATTTCAGTTCCACTCCGTTCGACTCTTTTAAATTCTAATTCGATTTGGAAAAAGAATGGCATCACTGTGGCTGGAGGAAATGGGGCAGGAGCTTCGACAAATCAACTCAATGTTCCACATGGACTGTTTGTTGATGATGACCAAACACTTTACATTGCGGAGTATGGGAATAGCCGCATCATTGAATGGAAATTTGGAGCTACTAATGGTCGAGTTATCGTAGGTGGAAATGGACCAGGTTCTAGACTTGACCAGATAAGTAACCCAGGTGATGTGATTGTCGATAAAGTTAGAGATTGTCTCTTCATTGGTGATAGTGGAAACAATCGTGTTCTTCGATGGTCTCTTCGAGGTGGAAACACTGGAGAAATAATCACTAACGATGAATCCAGAAGCGGCTCATTGACAATGGACGAACAAGGATATCTCTACGTTACTGATGCCCACAGACAGCTAGTGAAACGATGGGGAGTCGGAGAAAATCAGGGAGTAGTGGTAGCAGGTGGAAATGGGGTAGGAAATCAGTTAAATCAGTTCAATATACCAACAAAAGTCTTCGTCGATCGAGATCTTTCAGTTTATGTATCAGATGGTAATAATGATCGTGTGATGAAATGGGTGAAAGGTGCAAACAAAGGGATTGTAGTGGCTGGTGGCCGCGGCAAAGGGAGTTCTCTTTCTCAACTAAATTATCCTGAAGGAGTCGTCGTCGATCAGTTGGGAACTGTCTACGTTGCGGATAGAGGAAATCATCGAATAATGCGTTGGCGGAAAGGTGCGGTAGAAGGACAGATTATTGTTGGTGAAATGGGCGCTGGTTCTCAGTCGAATCAACTGTCTTCACCAATCGGTCTATCTTTTGATCGACAAGGAAATCTCTTTGTAACTGACTTTGAAAATAGTCGAGTTCAGAAGTTTGAAATCAATTGAACAGCGTATTTTTAGTTTTTGATACAGTCTCCATCTCTTTTTGTTTTATATTTTGTAAACCGACAGCTTTGATTTTACTCCAATTATATCATTTTTCTTTCAAATGAGTGAATGTGTCAGTGCAGATGTGAGGTGTGATTGCAGCTGTGGCTTAGTATGGCTGCAAATTAGTGCGCCGCGCCACATCCACATCGATTTAAAGTTGCTAATACTATACAACTCTCAGATGTATAGGGTGTGCCTAATTGAGTAGCCGTATAAAGGTTTCTTTGCTAGCATTCGCGTTGATGAAGAAAAGATTTGAAGCCATACACACCCATCTAAACCCACAACCCGAAGCAGTTAAAGCCTTGAACTA